GACCACGCCCCGCTGGTCCTGTCAGTGCAGATATCCGACGCGATGGAGGGCATCATTTCGGTCACGGTCTCCGAGAAGCCCTGCTGGGTGGTCGCGTGCATGGCGAAGGCCGCGCGCCCACGTGAGGATCACAGGGAAGGGGGAGCATATGAAGGAGGAGCAGGAACGAGGACAAGAGGAGAAGGAGGAGGAGGAGGAGGAGGCCATAGGAGGAGGCGCAGACGCACTTGCCCTGAGATGGTCAATCGCTGGCGGGCGTTACTCAGATGCTGAGCAGGAACCGGGAAATTTCGTCGAACGAAGGGGGGAGGAGGAGGATGAATGTTTGGTGAACGAACACGAGGGAATCATGAACATGATTGGGGACGTGCTGGCGATACATGCCCACGTGAGACGGCGGGACAGTGGCTACCATATTTCCTGAGCAGTTCTTGAATGCAGGGTTTTTGGCCACGGGAGTCCAGAATGTAATGCTCTTGCCCCAGCGCCATGTGGGTTTCGCTCTTGCGCGAGTGCAAATATATGGTGGCCTTCGGCCCACCCCGCCACCGTGACTTGGTTGTAGGTCCAAGGCCTCTTGTATACCAGTGAAGATCTCTTGGTAGGCCTTTGGGGAACTTCTTGGGGGCGGTTTTGGGGTGTCTTGGGGCCTCTTAGAGGCCTCTTGGGGCCTCCTGGGAGCCTCCTGTGGCTTCTTGCTGGGCCTCTTGGAGGCCTGCTGGTGGGATCGAGGGTCATTTTGGGGCGGAGGGCTTGGAATATCATGTCGTCTTCCCCCCCCCCCCTGACTCCCTTTCGGCGCCTCTGGAGACGTCATGGGGCGATCTTTCGGGCCTCGTGGGCCATCTTGAAGCGATGCAAGCCAAACAAGGCGAGAATAGCAAAGTTATTGAAGTTGAGAAAGAATAGTGATTCACCCCTCTTGGTGTCAATGTGAACCCCGTTCTATTGCGTTTATGCGTGTATGTGTACCTATAAGCACATATGTTACTCAATGCATCACCGTTTCACGAGTGTTTGATGTATTGTCGTTCCGACGCCGTTTGATGTTCAGGGGCCCCTGCGTCAGGTACGAATCTGCGTATACGCCGGGCGGCCCGCTGGCTGCTGCTGCTGGACGAGCTGGCGCCGGACGAACCGCGCCAGCCCAGGCGCCGGACGAGCCTTGTGGGTTCCCCGTCGAGACCATGGCCAAAATGAGCATCGAGGAGGCCGCTATGTCGGACGGTGCCCCGTTGGCCAAGCGCGTCCGCACGATTTGGGCGAAGCGCGCGCCGCAGGACGACCAGGCCACTCTTGCCGTAGAAGTGGCTGACGAGATGTTGCTGCTGGAGGAGTTTGTGGAGAATGGCTTTCAATATGGGAACGAGCAGTGGCATAAACATGCAAACTCGGAGGTCTGCGCGGATTTCTCGGATCCGCGCTGGACCCCCTGGCGGCGCCTCCGGCGCGACCCCTGGCGCGCTCGCGCGCCAGGGAGGGGGGTTATTTGCCGATCCGAGGAATCCGCGCGGACCTCCGAGTTTGTATGCTTATGCCATTCGTCGTTCCTTTATTCAAGAGAGAAGCCCCGCCATAGAGATGAGGGCCAGCTCGCCCCTGACGAGAAGCGCCCGTTCTGCGAGGCCACGCTGGAGGCTCAGTCAGGAAGTTTTCGACCGTGGCGACGGCTTGTCGCCCACTCACGAGCAGGGAGCAGATCCAGCATCCCGTTGCCCCTTGCGCTTCCTGTTGGAGTTGGAGAGGAAGCACGGGCAGAAGGTGGCCAACGCGCGAGCGTTGTGCCGAGGCTTCAGGTTCCGCGACGTCGTCGACGGCCAGCATGGCAAGTTGGCGCCGACCCTCAGCAGGCTCTGCCAGCACTCGGCCATGTTGTGGGCGTCTCTGAGGATGTGTATACTGCTCACCGCAGACTTACAGTCCGCGTTCCTGCAGGCGGAGGATGTGTTCACGTCCGGCCTGACGCGCGACATGCTGGCGCGCCAGATCGCCCTGCAACCCAGACAGCTGTTGGGGATGATCCAATCATTGTTTGGGGGCCCTCAGCCGCCCGAGCTCCGACACCACCGCTCTGATGAGATCGCAAGAGATCGGGTTCAGGAACGAATGGCTCGAGGACTGCCTGGTAATGCCCCTTCGCCAGGCGAAGGCCAGCGACGCCCCCGCTCGACGCGCGCAGCTTCGAGGGTCAGACCTGCGCGGCGGGCGGTCTGATTGGCAAGCACGTGGGCGATTTCACCGGGCGCGGCGCAGGGGTGAACAGCGAGGGGAATCTCTCCGTGAAGCTCGACGACCCCGAGAGCTGCCATTCGCGGCTGGGTGCGTCCCGCAAGAAGTTTGAATTCGGCGAGCGGGAATCCGGGCCGAGTTTGATATTCGCAGGAGGCTTGGTCGAGCTAGAATCCGAGAAGTACATGCGTTCGGGTTGACGCCGGAGGAGCTGCCTAACTTCAGGTCCCTGAGCGGGCAGCTGCAGAGGCCGGAGGCTCAGGGTGTGACCGTGCCAGCCGCTGCCGTGTGTTTTTCCTGATGCGGCTACGGGGCGCGCAGCCTTCCAGGACGTGCTGGATGCAAACAAAGACTTGAGGTTCATGAAGGCCAGCGCCGACGTAAAGTTAGATATCGGGTTCGATGAGCCTTCAAGGGACCTGCGCGTGGGAGGCTACTCGAACGCGAGCTGGGCCAGCAGGTCTGGCGGGAGCTCGCAGAGCGGCTGCCAGATCTCCCTGGGGCGCGCCGAGGAGCCCGACGTCGGCGCAACGAGTCGCTCGTGGCCGTGGATTGGTGGGTTTCGAAGAAGCTGCAGCGAATTTGCAGGAGCTCTCTTTCCGCGGAGACGCAAGCTGCCTCGCTCGGCGCGGGCGCCCTGCTGTGCGCGATGCTCACGTCGAGAATGGCTTGCGGCCCGATCTCAACCAGGACGGTGCCATGGAGTATCTCGGCGAGCCGCCGGTCATCACAGACGCGAGGTGCCTCGACGACGCTTCGAGGTCGGTCGCCGCATGCCTGGGCATCGCAGACACGCGCGCGGCGATCGAGGTCAAAATCGTGAACGATCAGATGGCCGATGCTGGTGCAGTGTGGAAGTGGGCGAATACCCAACAGCAGATGGCAAACGGCCTGACCGAGCTCTCCGCTCGCCGGATGTTGGCTGATTTGCTGCGCAGGGGAGTGCGCGCGTCGCGCTGCGACCCCGCGTTCGTGGCTGGCAAGGAACTACCCGATCGCGCGGCTGGAGCAGCGCGAGAGGGGGCCGGAGCAGACTGGGTACGAGGTGCCGGACGGCTTCGAGGCGAGCCCGAAAGCGAATCAGCGAGGTGGTGGACATTACGGAGCTAGCGGGCGACGGGTGGCGGCTGCGATTGCGGCAGGAGCAGCGACGAGCGCTGCTGGTATCAACGGCGTGATGCCGACGCCCAGCGGCGCAGCCGGCGCGCAGTTTGCTTGCCGCGAGTATTGCGGCGACGGCCGCAATGGCTACGAGTGCTACCTGACGCGGGCCGCGCCTTTTCTGGGCAGAGGCCTGATCTTGATTACGTTTGCTGGTGGTTTTCAAGGCAGGCCAGTGGCGAGCAACAGTCAGCGGCGCGATGGAGCTAACCGCGACGCCGACGGAGCACAGTTCGGCGGAGATCACGCAACCCAAGAACAATTTGCAGAGGACCAGGGGCGTTGTTGCCGGGCCCTGGCGAGATAGAACATGGGCCTGGGCGCCGAGGTTCCAGGCGCTGCTCGACTACTCCCATGGCGCGTCCTTGGCAGCTGGCGAGCTGGCGTGCATTGGGCGTCCGAGGGGCGTGCCGTGATGCGCCGCGCGCCGCTTCGGCGCGAGAAGCTGGCCAGGCGAGATCGGCCGATCGCCTGGAGCTGCTGAGCAACTATTAAGGCATACTGTCGCTATCGCGACAGCTGGTGATTTTCACAGACCCCGCCCCCGCAGCGCGGCGCTAGCGAAAGCGCGGCCTGCTTTAAGGCCGCGGGACGTGCCAGCCGCGAAGCGGTTGAAGCGAGCCCTCAGGAGACGATGACGATGATGGCGGCAGCGGTGCAGCCCCCCTCATTTTGCTGCTGCGCTGGCCGCGCGCTCCTCCCGCCGGCGATGACACGCCAGGCGGGCCCCTCCTTCCGCCGCGCGAAACGGGCCTCGCCGCCGGTGCCATAGGACACCGAGGCAAAGCCCAGGGTGGGCGGGCAAAAGAGGGCCCCTTTGGGCCCTGGGAGGGCGTTGAGCCCCGAAGGCCTGAGCGGGAGAGAGGAAAAGGGAAGGGCAAGCAGAGGCAGGAGCAGGGAGAGGAGAAACCCAAGCCGACTGGGGAGGGCGGGGTCCAACCGTTTAGGTCAAACAACTAAGACCCCGCCCCCACAGTGCGGCGCTAGCGAAAGCGCGGCCTGCTTTAAGGCCGCGGGACGTGCCAGCCGCGAAGCGGTTGAAGCGAGCCCTCAGGAGACGATGACGATGATGGCGGCAGCGGTGCAGCCCCCCCCATTTTGCTGCTGCGCTGGCCGCGCGCTCCTCCCGCCGGCGATGACACGCCAGGCGGGTCCCTCCTTCCGCCACGCGAAGCGGGCCTCGCCGCCTTTGTTCTATAATGCTGGTGCTGCTGCCAGTGCCCCTGCACACTGGCCGCCTGGCGGGTTCTACGCGCCGGCGTGCTGTGTGGGCGCCCTGATGGGCGTCACCAAAACTGGGTGCCAGGCGTTGTGTTGCCGGCACCGTCTAGGCACTGAGTCACGCATCGCCTGGCGTGTGCGCCGGCGTGCGTGTGGGGCCCGACTGGCCCTCTGTCTGCCGACTGCCGCCAGGCAACTGATGCCGGCGTGCGCGGCTGTCCTCCGCGAGGCTAGGCCTTGGGCTCGCGCCGGTACCGTGATGGCCGGCGGAGCCCGACCTCGGGCTGAGGCCCGAGGGTGTCGTCGCTGGCGCTTGGCACGGGCCGGCACTTGGCATCCCCGTCTGCGCCGCGGCCTCCAGATCTCCCGGCTCCCCGCCTCCACAGGTGCCCAAAGTGCACGGGGCGGGCAGGGTCCGGCCCCTGACAGAGGGGGTTCCCCGGGCCGGTTCTGGGGCGCGGGCCCGCGCCTGTGCATGAATTCGAGCGCTGCGGCCA